CAGCATGGCTATGTGCCGATGGGAACAATCTTTGAGAGTGGGACACTTATTGATGCAGAAGACAAAGGGAAGATTTTCTGGAACAGCTGCCTAACTGGACAGCAGTGTAGGATCTAGTGGACAAGTGTGGGACACAGGCAGTGCATCTATAGTAACCAGAGACATAGGAATGTCAATGGAGGTAATGTCAGGGACCTCAGGAAACACTATACTGGCAGTTCCTGTTTTCTCCACGGACAAGTCACTAGTTCACCAGGGAAAAGCATGAGTTGGGGAGGAAGCCATATAGCCTTCTAGAGAGAGGCAGATGAATAGACTGGAAAATGAGCAGACGATTGCTGGGAAGCTTTCAAGACCTCCTGGCTATTAGTGATGAACTTGAAGTGAACTCAGTCAGATCGCGGTGCGCTTTTCTCCGGCCATATGCCATTGCATGCTTGCAGGTGTAGTGTAGCGGAGATAATTGTATTTAACCAGGACTGGATTGTATCCAACCATGTGTGGTGACAAAGAGAGGGCCAGGGAGCAATGACTGGCCTGGAGCTTACGTTGGGTAGCAAGGGAAGTGGAGATATGAGGGGAGCGAGGGACGAGCCACAAGGCTATGAGTTGGAGTGGTCATGGGAGAGGGGCCTCCTGGGATTGGGATGATGGAGGGAGTCACTTTTGGAAAGGACTGTGGCTAGGTCACAGTCTTTGGGGCAGAGAAGATCAAAGAGCAGTGAGGCCACAGCACTAGCATCTTTCTTAGGCGAGTGTCCTTATCACTGAAAGCCACAACAAATAGCGGTGAGGAGCAGAGCGGCAAGTCAGGAGCACAGACATTCCTGGAATGCAGAGGAGGATCCTGGGTCGGGGAGAAGATGACTCTGAGAAGTCAGGTGGGGTGGGGTCAGCCGCTTAGCCTGCAAAGGGTCGCTCCAGGGGCGAAATGAGCGGGTGCTCATTAAGTTCTCAGCATTGAGCCTGATGTGCTCAGCCAGAGTTGTATCTGAGTCTGTGTGGCTCTGCAGAGCAGAGCTGAAACCACTGGGTTTATTCTTTCCAGGGAGGAGATCTCCCTTCATTATGAGATCTTTCTAAGCGGGAGAGCTACGGGCACAGCCTTGTGCAAACCGGGGAAGTGGTAGGTTCTCTGTTACTGCAATGACAATGGTGCAGAGGGGCAGGTGGTGGTGGTGGTGGTGGGGTGATTCTGGCCACTGAAGGCAGTAGGGAGAGGGGAGGGATGATGTCATGACTGGGCATCACCTGGTTCTGGCCCAGAGCCTGGCTAGCAGCGGGGAACTGAAGATGCTTGAAGGGAACTCCCAGTCTGTTGGGACAGCATTCCTGCAAACAGAGAGAAGTCATATACTTTGGAGATGGTCAAAATAGACTCATGGTACTCTCTGCAGAGCCAGGGAAAGCTTCAGAATCAGGGCACTCTGGAGCTGGTTGTTCGGGGCTCAGTGGGTGTGGGTCCCTGTGAGCAGGGTACAAGAGTTCAGTCCATGCAGAAGGACTTTCTGTGTGGAGCTACAAAGCCACGAGAGCCTGCGATGCTTGGAGTGCCACTGGAATTGCTCTGGGCAAATTGCGTATCTTGCTTTAGTTTTCCCTTTCATAAAAGGGGATAGAAATGGCATCTACAGAATAAAGGATGGGGAGGAGTAGATGACACGGTCACAGGCACAGTTGCAATCCCTTTGGGTTTATTATTTTACTTGAGTCTTAACCATATGAGATAGGATCTGTTATTTTATTCCCATTTTACAGATAAAGAAGTTGAGTCTTAGGGAATTGAGTACCTTGCCAAGGTCATGTAACTGACAAGAAACACAGTTTGGGCTGAGCCCAGATTAGTCTGATTCCAAAGCTTATACTCTTAACCCCTAAGCTGTAACAAGTCCCTAGCACACAGCTAGCACTAAATAAGCGGCAGCCATTGCGGTGGTGACTGGAAGTATCACAGAGAGGTGAGGATTCTGTCACTGCCTCTGCAGCTGGCCGCAGGGCCCCAGGGCTGCTGTCTCATCAGCAGCAGTGCCTATTTTTGGAAGACCCTCATCGCGTACAGCCCTAGATAGACAGTTGCACTGCACACCTTTCCAATGCTTCGCATTCGGAGCCAAGAACGAGGAGTGATTTTTATCTTCTCAGAGGGCGAATCTTTCCAAGGCGGTGCAGTCAACGTAAGGGAGGAAGATCCGGGGTCCATGCCTTCTTCTGACGTCTGTGGGCTGAGCTCAGACAAAAGCCTTGTGTCCCAGCTGCACACACATGAGGGGAGGGCAGCAAGCCAGCATGCACAGACCAAAGGAATGAGCCAAGTCTCAGGTGACTGCCCACAGGGTAGGCACTGAGAAGGTCTTTTCCATCAGTGGTGTGAGCTAAGTGGAGAACTCTTAAGAGTTGCCAGCCCGCTCCCCATTCCTTCTCTCAACAGATGCTTGGTGAGGGCCTACTATGTGCCAGACTCTCATTTTGTGTCTGGAGATACTCACTGGCTATCACAGTGAGGAAGGCTGACCTGCCTACTAATGGGGCTTGCATTTTTAGTGGGAAGAGATGGACAATAATCAAATAATGATAAGAATGCGTGCATAGCTACGAATGCTTATACCACAAAGGAAATTCATGCCAGGGAAAGTGGAACAGCTCCCAGAGACATTGCCTGACCGGAAACCAGTTCTCTTGAGTTGATCATGAGAGCTGTGAACTGTTTGCCAAAGGACAGTGGCACCTCTCGCTTCCACCCTCTCAGTCCTGTCCAGGGTCTGATTGCCTGCCTCTCAGTCATGAAAGACTGGAGTTCTCCCAACCTGAATCCCTGGCCTTCAGAGCAGGGATTGCTCCTGGGTCATGGAGTGAGGCCAGTTAGGCCCGCATGTCTTCTGGCTGGCTCTTCCCAGGACAGATCTCCAAGTTGATACATCAGGTTGAAGGGTATTTTCAACATCAGCCCCAGGAGTTTTGCCTTAATTATCCCACTAACATAAGAAGAGTAAAGGCAGTCAGACCAAAAAGATAAAAATTAATCTCTCATCAGTTTGCTCATTGGAAAAAGCTCTTTTGGGTCTCAGTCGTGGTCATTTTTTGTAGATGCGTGGATATGCATAGCTTTTAGTCACAGTAACGTGTGCACAGGTAACATTTCTACTATAATTTGGAAGGATTTTCTTCCCTGTTGCTACATAAATTCACACACAACTGTGTATATTCTCTCAGCTGGATGTATCATGGCTATACTGCTGCTGGAAGCTTAGTTGACCCAGTGGTTATGTTGGTATTTGGGACTCCTGCATCCCATATCAGAATGCCTGGTTCAAGGGCTCCTGCACTTCCAATTCAGCTTCCTGATAATGTATATACTGGGAGGTAGAAGGTGATGGCTCACTTGGGTCTCTCCTACCGACGAGGAACCCTGGGATGAATTCTGGGTTAATGTTGGTTTTGGTCTGGCCCAGTACCAACCATTGTGAGTGAGGAGTGAGTTGGTGGATAGAAGATCTCTTTCCTTGTCTCTCTGCCTTCCAAATAAAAATGAAGAATCTGTGAGAGGAATCCAAAGCATATGATCTTTTTCCTGTTGAATTATTTATTCAGCCTTATTTCCTGAAAGTATGGTAACTCGTTTAGTAGTCATGAGCTCTTAATGCTATGGGCTGAATACTTTCTAGAAAGGTTGAATTAAATTTATACTGTTCCTTTGAATGTATGCCAATTCTATTACAGTCTGTTCAGCAGTGAATACAATCATTTTGAAGACTATTGACCAACATAAATTCTATGAAGTTCTATCTTAAAATCCCACTTGTGCCTTTGGGGTTCCTCTCAGAACTTACCATAATGTCATATGCTTGTTAACTGTGTTTTTTGTTTTGTGATTTGTCTGTTCATATTGATTCTCTGTTTATTTTGGGAGGTTTTACTACCTTAAATCTAGTTTTCCTCTTAATTACAGTTTTCAGTATTTTGTTTTGTTTTTTTCTAAAAGATTTACTTATTTATTTATTTGAAAGACAGAGTGACAGAGCAAGAGGGAAAGACTGGGCAGTGGGAAGAGAGAGACCTTTCATTTGTTGGTTCACTCCCCAAATAGCCACAACTGCTTGGTCTGTGTCAGGCTGAAGCGAGGAGCTTAAAACTCCATTTGGGTCTCTGCATGTGTGGCAGGGGTCCAAGCACTTGGGCCATCTTCTTCCACCTTCCTAGGCACACTAGCAAGCAGCTGGATCAAAAACAGAGTAGCGAGGACTGGGACTGACATTGTGCTATGGGATGCTGCTACTGTAGGTGGCAGCTTAAGCTGGTGTGCTGCAACACAGGCCTCTAGTTTTAGTATTTTCATTGTAGAGAAGTGGGCATTTTCTTGTGATCACATTTGTTAAATATTTTCCTTGCTAATTTTCTACGCTGCATTAAAAAGAAGAAAGAACTGATATTTATAGAATTATATTTTGATAATAATTCAGGGTAATGCATGCATAGTTTAGAAATTTTGGAATATACATAAAGTGAACAAAATATTAAAATATTCATTATTCTACCATCCTGGGTGGTTCTTACCCTTTCTCCCTGATTTGTGTTTTTAAATGTATTTTCCCCCGGGTTTGGGTAGTATTTATAATTTTGTAATTTATTATACTGACAGAGCTTTCATATACCATTAAATATCCTTTGAAAGTAAATGGGGGAATTTGTCTTGTTTATTTTGGGATGCGTCTAATGGCTTTCTCTTTACCCCTAAGCCAGAGATTAACGAACCCTTTCTTCTTGAGTTGGCTGATACAGCTGACTTTATCTTTTGTGGTCTGTGTCTAGCCTCTCTCTGCTATTCTCAGATCTGCAGCATTGCACCTGCAACAGACAAATCTCTCTTTCTGAGCCTTCGGGGCCTCCCGGGTTGTGGGTTGCATCACAGCCGAGGCCTGCAGAAGCACCTCTCCCTGGTGTTAATGTTTAACCCTGCTTCAACTAGCAAACAGCTGTTACTTCCTTTCTTTTTTCCTTTGCAGATGTTTTTTGATCATCCTGAGAGGAATGAGCCTAGGCCTCCAGATCCGATAAAGAGAACCTGTCACCCATGGAGAGTAGTGCTACTTCCTGAGGACGTGGAAGGCCTGCAGCCCACCGGGAAATAGCCTGAAGCAGGTAAGGGGCACTGGGGAAGCCTGGCCAGCAAAACGTATTCCTCAGTGGTAGAGTTTTTGGGCAAGAATCTTCAGGATTGCGGTGTCTGACTGCTGCTTTGCTGTTCGCTTTTTAAATATGCACTTATTCTTTAGTACTCGTTAACCACTGATTTATTGAAGGGTGGGACTGAGTGGCTTGTCCATTCCGTAGTCTAAAATAGGTCCTGAGTTATTCCGTAATTCACTTGACGTTTGTTGAGCACATAGTCGACGCCATGCCCTGCGTTTGGTACTGAGGCCGTCTTGGTGAGTCGGCTTGGTCTCTGTAGCACATAGGATGGATTGTTTCTGTGTTCCTCCAGGCGCATGCCCATGGTGGGAAGCAGTCATGAATCCATTCATGTTAGCTCAGGAATCTCTGGAGTCCTCTCTCTATCCCAGGCACTGTGCTGGGTCCTGGGGTTTCAGAATGAGGCCAGAAGGAGTTGTCCAGCGGTGAGTGAGGCGTGAAATGCAAGCAGTAGTAGGCATGGCTGGTGAGCAGCCGGGAGCAGGGTTCTTGCTGAAGGGAAGTTGAGCTCCACAAGGTGATGCTGTGGGAGTTGATAGGCGAATGGAGGAGAGAGAATGCGGTCCTACAAATACCTAGAAGCTTAAAAAATCAGTCTGGTGTGACTGGAAGATTCAACGCTTGGTGTGTTTTTCCAAAGAATTCCGAGAGGCAGGTTTGCTACTCTTTACTTCAGTTGGGCAGTGTAGATGAAGCTTCTTCAGTCTGTCTCATTAGGACACCATGAGCATTAAGAAAGGGTCTTGCAGCTCTAAGAGTCTGTGTCCAGACACTCCCTCCAGCTCCTGGATCTGGAGCCTGGGCACGGCGGGGCGGGGGGAGGCACTAAGGGACCAAACGGGTCTTCACGCGAGGTTTCCCATGGGTGCTCTGAGGCCATGACAGGGCACAGGCCATGAAGGCTGGGCCCAACAGAGGGTCACAGGACTGTGGCTGGGCTGGCTGTTTGGGGATTTCTTCTTTCCTGAGCAGCTCACCTTGCAGAGCAGGTGTGGGCAGGAAGCCAACACCAGCCCTCGCTGGGTCTCAGCTCCCCAGATGGTGAATCTAGCCCCTCCCTGCTGCCTCCTTCCACTCACACGTGTAGAAAATCAAGATGAAAGGCCACCATCTCCGTATCACTCATGCAACTCTGAAAATTGCTTATGTTTTCACGACCTATGCAGCTGTACATGGAGCTGATGAAGTCTCTGACTATCTCACAGGGTTAGGCTGGGTCTCACGAAACCTAAGGAATGGGAAAGGGCTTCCCGAGTGCTAAGGCAGTGCACCCGGTGATGGCTGGTGCAGCACTGAGGCTGAAGGCGGCCTTTCCGCCATCGTCTCTCTGGGGACTCTGGTTTCTGGGTCCTATTTCATCAATGCTGACTTTGCTCTGTTCCTTATCACAGATCCCTGCCCTTTTGTGGGAAGACCAGGAACTTTCAGAGTCAGACAGATATGAGTTGGCATCTTGATTCTAACATTGATTAGCTACTGACCTTGGAGAGCCTTATGACCTTGCTAAGGCTCAGTTTCTTCTCTTTCTTTGGATTTATTTATTTGAAAGTCAGAGTTAGAGAGAGAGAAAGAGGAGATCTTCCATCTGCTGGTTCACTCTTCCAGATGACTACAACGGCCAGGGTGGGGCCAAATCCAAGAGCCAGGAGCTTTATCCGGGTCTCCCACGTGGGTGCAGGGGCCCAAGCACTTGGATCATCTTCTGCTGCTTTCCCAGGCCATTAGCAGGGAGCTGGATCAGAAGCAGAGCAGGGTAGCCAAGAGTTGCGCTGGCACCGATTTGGGATGCCAGCATTGCAGGTGGCAGCTTTACCCACTACCCCACAACGCTGGCTCCTCTTCACTTTCTAAGATAGGGTTGTCATGCTCCCTCCCCTTGTGCTCTGGTACAGATTCAACGTGAAGTGCAGATGAGGTACCTCTTGTGGAGTAGACCCTCGGTACACTGCTACTTCCCTTTGCCTCTCATTCTTCAGCTGTTGCATGGTCATATGGTTCACCTTGTTGGCTCTCACAGTAAATTGAATGTCTTGGTTTTCTGATGCTAGAATAAGCCCTCTTACCTCCCACACTGCGATCTTGTTTCTGAGTTCTTCATCCTCTGTGTATATTTCTCTACCTCTGGAGTCTCAGCAGCCCAAGGCAGGAACTCATTATTCTAGTTACGAAGCTTTGGGGCCATAGGCAGCACCACTTCGGATAGTATTGCCAGGGGAGTCCAGGAACCACTTGGGCATCAGTAAATGAGAGTCTTGGATGAGGAGCCTGAAGCTGAGGCTGGGCAGCTGTGGCCAGCACTGCACTCTGCCACCTCTCACTGTACCACTTCACCCCCTCCTGACCCTCAGGCCAAGCGGCTGCTTCCCCTGTTGGCTCAGAGGACCTTGCATTTACCCAGTTCAGAGCCTGTTTACACCATCCTTTCCCTTGGTCCTCCCAACACTCTTCAGACAGAGGTACGGACTTGCCCAAGGCCACCAAGAATGGAGACAAGAAGCCAGGTTTTGTGGTTACTCAGGCCAGTAACCACAGCTCTCACAGTCTTAGGTGCAGACTCCACAGGAAGACCCTTCAGACTGTTTATGAGTTAGCAAAACCCCAGAGCAATTGCTTTGTCTTGCCTGCCTCATTACAGTAAATAAGCCTGTTGGTGGAAACCAAATTATGGCCGGTGCCGCGGCTCAATAGGCTAATCCTCTGCCTGTGGTACTGGCACCCCGGGTTCTAGTCTTGGTCGGGGCGCCGGATTCTGTCCCGGTTGCCCCTCTTCCAGGCCAGTTCTCTGCTGTGGCCAGGGAGTGCAGTGGAGGATGACCCAAGTGCTTGGGCCCTGCACCCCATGGGAGACCAGGAGAAGCACCTGGCTCCTGCCTTCGGATCAGCGCAGGGTGCCGGCCACAGCGCGCCAGCCGTGGCGGCCATTGGTGGGTGAACCAACGGCAAAGGAAGACCTTTCTCTCTGTCTCTCTCTCCACTGTCCACTCTGCCTGTCAAAAAAAAAAGAAACCAAATTATTTTTTCCAAAAGGTGAAGACTTTGTTTGAGTTCAAAGGGCTCCCATCTTCCATTCAGTTACACAATAAATTCTGAGAAAACAAAGTAGGTTTTTACCCAGATATAAAGGTGCCTATTCAGGCTCTGTTTGCTTAGTGAAATCTGTTTTCCAGAATGTTCAGCAATTCTGCACATGTTGTAATGGGGAGGACATGGGTTGTGGAATCAACTGCACTTGGATTTGAACCTCGGCACAACCATTTCCTCATGTCTGTCGTCCTGGGCGCTTCCATTAATATCTCAGAATGGAGATTGAAACTTTGTCCTTTTTTTTTTTTTTTTTTTTTGAGATTTAAAAGTATTTATTAGAAATCAAGGACCTCCAGCCAAAGCTGCGTGGAAGTGGGGCTTCCAAGAGAGGAAAACCCAAAGGGGACTGGTGGCAGTCAGCTTTAAGTACAATTTTGAAGGGAAAAAAAAACCTTGCTGATCAGATTGAATGCTGTCCTTAAGACCTGTGACTGGTAATGGTCAGAGCCCCTCTGCCCATCATGTTACTCTGTGGTGAGCATGGTGCTCCCTGGGTTATGCACCACACTGACCCCGGTTATGGTGAAATTAACTGAAAACAATATCTCCTGTGCCTGACACGTTTTTGTTTTCATTGTGCTAATTGGCCACATCTCTGTTATCTTACCTAGACTTCCTGTTTTCTCTTGAGTTTGGTTAGCTTCCTGTCTTAACAGTGCTTTTTTTGTTTTGGTCACGCACTGCACAAATCTGAATGTTATGTTGTAAAGCTAGTAACCCTTAGTTTTCTTCTCAGGTGGGAGTCTAGAATCGCAGCCCTCAGAGAGATGCACCACAGATCCAAGGCGAGAGGTCTTTCTATGAGTATTTAAGAGGATGCTGGACCCCTCAGGGTTTTTGAGAGATTGGAGTTTGCGAGGTAGATGGATCAGTCTGCTCCGCCTTGGTTCTGTTGATTTCAGTCAATGCCTGCCTTCATTTACCAGGTCAAAACTCCTCAAACCAAATGATGTATAAGATGCAGTTCCAGACCTCAACAATTTCAGGGAGCAGAGGGTGAGCTGGACCCAGGCAACCAGAAGTGGTGACTCAGGCTGAAGAGAGTGGTGGCAGAAGGACCCAAGAAGTGTTTGTGGCTCAGAGAGAGAGAAGGAGTGTCCAAGGGAATGCACCTGCCATTTAAAGCCACCCCCCGCCCCCAGCCCCTGCCATGTGTCAGGCACACTAGATGTTTTTGCAGTTAATTTCCCCACAACCAGGATCAGTGTGGGGCATAACCCAGGGAGCACCATGCTCACCGTGGTCTAATATGGTGGGCATCTCCTGGGCTGGAGACCCTTACAGTCTGACCGTTACCAGTCATAACTCATAAACGAATTTGCTCGAGCACTTAACGTTGCACAGTAGGTGGGAGGTAGACCAGGGTTGGAATTAAGTCTCCTCCCTCTAAATCCATGGATCAGCGCCTGGCTCACCGAAGGCCGTGTTTGGGTTTTCTCTGCGTCACTTTCCCCCGTGTCTTCCTCTTTTCAGGCTCGTTCTCCTGCTCAGATTGGAGTGGCTTCTCTCAACACACTCTTCATTATGATTCATACCAACTTGAAGAAAAAATTCAGCTGCTGTGTCCTGGCTTTTCTCCTGTTTGCTGTCATCTGTGTGTGGAAAGAAAAGAAGAAAGGAAGTTACTACGATTCTCTTAAAGTGCAAACCAAGGAATTCCAAGAGCTGCAGAGTCTGGAGAAACTGGCCATGGGGTCTGGCTCCCAGTCTGTGTCTTCAAGCAGCACTCTCAAGACCCCACTCAGGGGCGGCCAGGCCCTCAGCAGCCCCAGGGCCCCGGCCAAGGCCAAACCAGAGACCTTCCCCTTCCAGGTGTGGAACAAGGACAGCTCATCCAAAAACCTTATCCCCAGGCTGCAGAAGATCTGGAAGAATTACCTGACCATGAATAAGTACAAGGTGTCCTACAAGGGGCCAGGGCCAGGCGTTCAGTACAGCCCAGAGGCCCTGCGCTGCCACCTCCGGGACCACGTCAATGTGTCCATGGTAGAGGCCACAGATTTTCCCTTCAACACGTCTGAATGGCAGGGTTACCTGCCCAAGGAGAACATCAGGACCAAGGCTGGGCCGTGGGGCAGGTGTGCTGTTGTCTCATCAGCTGGATCTCTGAAGTCCTCCCAGCTGGGCCGAGAAATAGGTGCGTTCTGAGGTGTTGATGTTGTTCTCTGAACACTGAGTGAGGGCCCTGGGGACAGGGCGCAGGTCCGTGGCAGTGTTTTCAGCCATCTTTCTTGAAGGTGCCACGGGGCAGCTGAAAGAGGTAGGGGCAGGGATTCAGGCCCACGGTGCCTTTATCCACTAGCATTGGTTTTATCTGCTTTCAGGATAGGTGTTCTGCAGATGTTTTCATTTGAAAGGGGAGTCCCACCTCTAGCAATAAGCAGAAAGCTAGAATTGATTGTTGAAAGCATTGGAAACATAGATCTCTGTTTCATTTTCAGGCTCTGAAATTCTGTTATTTTACCAGTTGAATGGGAGACTTTGTTAACCTCACCTGACTGGGTGATGTTCAGCTTTTCTCTTCGAAAATAGCTAGTTAGAATGGGAATTCTTAACTTGGGAGCTCTGGACCATCTGTAGGGGACCCATGAGTCTCTAAAATTGCATGTGGGAGTATCTGTGGATTAGGTGTGTATAATGTGTATGTGTGTGCGTGTGTGTGTGTGTGCATGCACCTGTAAGACTCAGTGCATTTCTCCAGAAAGAAAGAGAGAGCTCTCAGATAGCAGTTGATTCTTAGAAGCGTGTGTGACCCAAAAAAGTTTGTGTAAGTCACTGGTCAGAATCCATCAATTTGCTTTTCTTGAACCCCTTTGCAGCTGATGAAGATAGAAAGTCTATCCGTATTTGTAAACCTGTGCAACAGAGAGCTATGGGTTTGCTTAGGGCCTCTTATTACTCTCATTCGGAGAGAATGTGTTTTCCATTATTCTGAAATGAATCAGACTAAAGAAAGCAAAGCACAGGAAGCCTTACTTCTCTCTCAGGCTGGAGGTACTGGAGCAGGTGAGGTCATTTGTCTCCTTTTTTATTTCCTTCATGTGACTGCCAGGAAAAATGGTCTAAAACCAACACAGGCTCTCAACAAGAAAAGTAGACCCAAATTGGATTCTCTAGAGCAGAAAGAAGTGTGAGATCACATTTTCTACCTCCCCAAATAGGCAGTGTTTACCAATAACAGCTGCCAAGATGACCAGCTCCACCCCAGCTCATGCTTTTTTGGTTTCTTTTTGACTTTGTTTTCTAGAAATGAAATGTGATTAGTTTTTGTTCACCCACAATGGAACTAAATTTCGTTCTTTCTTCCCCATTTTTTTGCTGCATAATAGCAATATTTAGGCTCTGCCAGGTGTTAGCTGCTCCTTCTTCATACCGAGCTATCATTGTGTGCCTCGGTTGAAGCTTGAGGCACAGCGTGAGACCTCTATGAATTGTGACGACAGTGTGATTTTTATGCACTCCTTACAAGTTTCTAGTGATTTTTAAATAATTTTTGTTTTTAAATTTTATTTGAAAGGCAGAGAGAGAGAGAGAGAGATCAGAAGTCTGTTGGTTCACTCCCCAAATGTTCACTTCAGTCAGGGCTGGGCCATGTAGAAGTCAGGAACCAGGAACTTAGTCCAGGTCTCCCACTTGAGTGACAGCACCCAAGTATTGAGCCATCACTGCTGCATCCCAGGGTGCACATGAACAGGAAACAGGATGGGAAGGAGAGGAGCCAGGACTCCAACCAGGCTCTCTGAGACAGCGTGTGGGTCCCCACGTGATGTCACAACCATTGCACCAAACACCAGCCCCGTTTCACAGCGATTTAAATAAAGACTAATGAAAGTAGGCTTTTTCTGTGGACTGCAGTTACAGCTTCACGTAAGTACCACGGGAGAACTTTGATCCTGGGATATAATAAAAATTGGTTATTAAGCTTCAAATGTCCTATCTTTTATAGGGTGTATCCTCTGGGCATTTAAACTGATACATATATGCTAAGGCATTTATTCACTTGTTCTTTTTATTCATTCATGCCCCTTGTTGAACCCTGGAAGTCCTAAGAAGCGTGCCAGGTCTGGAGACTTTTCCCTCCCTCCAGAATGTGTTGAGCCCAGTCCCAACCAGTGAACACATTAGATGATTTCAAGTTGTTTGCTCTTACAAATAGTACTGCTGATGAGGTTTTTGTGCAGAGAACTGAAGAGATATTATTGCTTTTCAGGGAGGGAAATATCCATAGGATGGGGCTAGAAAACCCAAATCTGTTAAGTTTTATGGCAATTTCAAAAAAATACATATTTATTTATTTATTTGAAAGGCAGAGTGACAGAGAGAGAGAGAGAGAGAGATATCTTTCTTCCATCCTATGGTTTACTCTCCAAATGCTCACATCAGCTGGAATTGGGCCAGGCTAAAGCCAGGAGCCAGAAACTCCATCTGTGTCTCTCATATGGGTGGCACAGGCCCAAGCTCTTGGGCCATCTTCTGCTGGCTTCCCAGGTACATTAGCAAGAAGGTGAGTTGGAAGCCGAGCAACTGGGACTGGAATTGACATCGCCATACAGGATGCTGACCAAGTAGAGGTTTAACTTGCTGTGCCACAACAGTGACCCCCAACTAATTTTTTTTTCCTATAGTACAAGAATGTTTCTAGAGAGACTATAATAATGTACTGTGTCTCCATAAGTTCCATAAACCTGCCAATGGTGGGCTCAGTGATTTTTGTTGTTATTATTATTTTGTTATAAGTTAAAACCTGCTTTTTTGCAAAGCTACATTAAATCTGAACAATAGGGCTTGGCATTGTGGTACAGTAGGTTAAACTGCTGCCTATGACACTGACATCACAGATGGGCATTGGTTTCAGTCCCGGCAGCTCCATATCTGATCCAGCTCCCTGCTAAGGCACCTGAGAAAGCAGTGGAAGATGACCCAAGTGCTTGGGCCCCTGCACCCAAGTAGGAGACCCTGATGGGAGTTCTAGTCTCCTGGCTTTAGTTTGGCACAGCTCTGGCTGTCTCAGCCATTTAGAGAATAAATCAAAAAAATGGAAGATCTCTCTCTCTCTCTCTCTCTCTCTCTCCTTCCCCCTCTCTCTGTAACTCTGCCTTTCAAATACATAATAAATTTGAAGAAAACAAACTTGAAAAATAAATTTTTGTATGGATGAGAAACAAGTCAGCAAGGTTAAACTTTTGTTCTCCTTTAGGGACGTGCATCAGTCATATTTGTGTGTCTCTTTCCAGAGGTGAATTGGTTTACTTCTGCAGGTAAAGTATCTCAGACAAGTTGCAGGTTTTTAGTTCAGTTACACATTTTTAAAACACCATCGCCATGGGAGTACACTTTCTGTGCACCTGCTGTGTGCCTAGCGTGTCTTGCTCTTTTAGTCCTCCCGGTAGCCTTGTGAGGTAAGTAAGGTTGTTGTTCTCACTTGGCTGTTGTAAGAGGTTACACAACAGGCTGGTGGCCAATTGCGGTTGGAAAGCAGCTTGTTTAACTGGAAAACATCCACACGTCACCCCTCTACTCTGTGTCTCATGGCGACTGTATTGTCCTAACAAAATTTCGTGTGATTAATCCCCCACTGATGTCCTAGAGAACAGAGAGGAGCATTCCGAGCTGAGGCAAAGGCAAGAAGCAAGGCTGCAGGGGAAGAGGTGTGCAGTGTGTCTGCACCTTGGGAACAGTCCCGTGTGGCTGCTATGCAGAGCCCGGGGAGTGCGGAGGGCCGAGGAAGAAGGCCAGCGAGGCAGTGTGGGTCGGCTGGTTGAGAATCTGGACAGTCGTCACCATGACCTTGGGTCCATTCTTTAAGCCACAGAGAGCCCTAGGAAGTTTCTAAACTGGAGAGAGATGGGATGGCAGGTGCTCTGGAGAGACTTCCCTGAGTCCTCTTCTCTCTGAGCACTGCTGTGAAACCTCCATAGCTCCATGGCCACATCCAGCTGAAAAATGCTGGGTCTGTTCAGGCAGTGGTAGAGGAGAGAAACGGCCTGGTCTGAGAGGCACCCTAAGGGAGGAGAGCCAGAATGCAATGTCTGATTAGAAATGACCCTGAGTGAGAGGCAGGACTTGCAGGTCCTCCCGCATGAGTCAACTACATCATGTCACCGAGGAGTTTGTTTCTAGAGGCAGGCAGATTGCTTTTGGCTGTGTTCAGTTGGAAGCATTTGTGGATTTTCCTTGGGTTGATATCTGTGTATAGTTGGGTGTTTTGTTCTGGAGAACCATCAGAAATGGAGGTCAGATTTAGGAGTCATTTATGTTAATATGAGTCCAAGGAAAAGGCCTGATTAGGAAATCTAGAAAAAGATTTATAGTTAAAGGACAAGGAAAGGAACAAGCAGAAACATCCAGGGGTTGGAGGAGAGAGCACAGTGGGGAAGTTATGGCGGAAGACGAGAGGGATGGAGTTTAGGGGTGGCGTCTGTTGGCATCAGTGCCTGCAGACTTGGGGCAGGTTCCTGGGCAGATTGAGGGCTGAGAAGATAGCCTTGGATTTAGTAGCTTAGAGAGCGTGATTGGATGTCACAGGTTAAGTTAGCAGACTTCCTGTAGAGGGCCAGATAGTAGATGCTTCCAGCATTAAGGGCCAAACCGTCTCAAAGCTACTCAGCTTTGCTGTTGTAATACAAAAGCAGCCATAGCCAGCACTTGCAACAACACTTTATTCATAAAAACAAGGGATGGGCAGACTTGGCCTTCAGGCCATAGTTTTGTAACCCCAATCTAGTTTCTCTATCCAGAATTAGAATGCAGCCTTCCACAAATGGTTATATGATTCTTTAAGCTAATTTTACAAAATAAGAATGTTTGGTGGTAAAAGGTGATAAAAATGCTTTCTGTCACCATTTCTAGCTGGTTAGAGTTACCACTCCTGGAGGCAGGGCATCCTGGTAGATTGACTTTACTTTGAGCTAATTCTGTTGCTTTCTAAGCATGTAATTATATCATGCGCATATAGTGTTGAATTTGTTTTTTCCTTTTCTGATTTGCATTGTTTCCAAGCTCTAACTCTTAAGTTACAGGTGGTGGCTTCTGTTTTCTGCAACTTCTTCTCTTGCCAGACTTCTTTGCTGGCTTCTGGTAGTTGGAGATTTCTCTTCCTGACTCCCAGGAGGTCTATTTGAGCTGGAAACTTCTTCAGCCCTCAATAACAAAGGGTGGTTTTGGCAGCCAGAGATCTTATGCCCTATATTTACGTAACCTATTTAAAAAAACTTTTTTAGAGTCAAATCCCAACTTTATATGTGGTCTCCCCATAGAGACATAATCGAGTTCCTGCCAACATCTTGAACGGCTTCTTTAACTTTTCTTTGCCCCACTCCCTTGTCTCCAGCTGGGTTCTTCCCCTTCATCAGAGTTGACACTTGCTGCAGCTTCTGGCTGGAAAGGACCTCCTTGGACCCTACCCATACCTGGCTACCCTTGGGGTCTCAGCTTTGAGACATACTCAGAATCATTATCAGGAGATCCCCTTAGTGTCTCTGGCACACAGCTCAGTCTATTTGTGTTATAGTAGTAACTACAAGCTGGAACCAGCTTCCAAAGAGGTGGTCATGCTAATTTATTGTCTCTCTGTTCAGTGGGAAAGTTCTATGAGGGCAAGAACCTGTTCTTTCTTGCTCACAACCATTGTCTCCAGAGCCTAGATGGAGCCTGGCATAGAGTAGGTGTGCAGTCAGTATCTGTGGAACAAATAAAAATTCTCCTTCATCATCAAGTTCAATATCAAGGGACCTTCATCATCAAGGGACCACGCTCTGTGCCGGGTGTTTTTCCTTTGCTCCTCCATCCTTTCCCATTTGGGTGTGATCCCTGAAATCGTAGACTGTATTCCTTGCCTTCTGGGTTTTGCTTGGGACTGACTGGGAGAAGCACAGGCATGAAATGGGAGAGTGAAGTCGGGACATCCATTTCCCCTGCTGCCTCCCTGGACAGTCTCTTCTTTGACTGGAGGTCTTGGCCCCTGTTGGGCGGCCTCCTTGGTCTCCAAGTCATGCTGTCTCCCTTTTTCCGTCGTGTCTCCAAGATCTGAGGGAAGGAGGAGAAAGGGGTTGGGGTATGGATGATCCTAGCCCCTTGCTTGCCAGCTGGATGTTAGCAAGAACTGTGGTCTTTGGAGACTTCTCATGCTGGTGGCCTGTCCTAGCTCTGTATCTCTGTATCTCTGCGTGGTACGTGGGGTTAATGATGGTTCTTGGAAGTAGCCAGCCCTGGGGTAGAAGCTTGTCCCATGGAGATTTCCTTTAACTCTGACCACAGCTGTGTGACTAGTCCTTTGAGGGAACTCTCGGTTACTCTGTTGGAGCTTGTCATCGCTTTTCTCCTGGGATTCTCCTCAGTAATTGATTCATCTGTGAGAGTGAAATTTCTGATGGATCTGCCTTTGTCCTGTGATTGCTGCTAATCACATTTGAGACCAGTGGGCTGATTTCCATAGGGCTTGTTGCAGTTGTGAGTTGTGGAACCATGCACCTGCTGCCCAACGTGCAGTTCATTGTGTCTGCCCTGTAAGCTGATAGAAGCGTGGACTATGTACAACTCGTGTGACTTCCAAGCTGTTTCAACAGCATTTTGTTCTGGGATTGAGGCTTCGAGATGCTGATTTTGTGAATGAAGTGTCTGGAATCTTGAGGTTTAGTGTATGTATTAAAATCTACATAAAGAGGGAGGCGATCATCCCTTAGCTCTGTGGGCATTTGCTTTCCAGATCATCTTGTAGTGAGCCAGAAGTCTTGTCTTCTCCCCATCCATCTGTGTGGATAAATAATTGCCTAAGTCAAACCACCTGAAGGTAAATAAGATACTGGAGGGTTGAGATGACCCCCAAGTCTGGTGATCACCAAACTTGCTTCATCAAGTAAGGTAGGGATGAGCTGCCTTGGGATCACAAATGCTCAGGATGGAATGGTTCTTACAGGTTATTGGATCCCTCCCCCATCAGATTCGTCAATGCTAGATAAACTTCTTTAAGTCTCCAAAACTCTGCCTCAACAGCTGCAAAGAGACAGGAAGCAATTAGGGTTTTGTGAGATGGCCTGTCTAATCTGCATGAGAACAGATAAAACAGGTAGTGAAAAAAAATGGGTTAAAAGTTGTGTGAGTTTTTTTTTTTTTTTTGCAGAAATTTGAAACCCATGCACAGTTTTTTCATAATATACATTTTCCATGAACATTTTGAAGACCCTTTGTGTATTATTTCTGACGTAGTGCTTATTTGAAAAAGAAAGAAAGGGGACTGGTGCTGTGGTGTAATAAGCTAAGCTTCTGCCTGTGGTGCTGGCATCCCCTATGGTGCCAGTTCGAGTCCCAGCTGCTTCTTTTCTGAACTAACTCTCTGCTTATGGTCTGGGAGAGCAGTAGAAGTTGGCCCAAGTGCTTGAGCCCCTGAACCCACATAGGAGACCCAGAAGAAGCTCCTGGCTCCTGGCTTCAGATCAGCCCAGCTCCAGCCATTGTGGCCATTTGGGAAGTGAACTAGTGGGTGGAAGACCTCTCTCTCTGTTTCTCGGTCTCTCTGTCTGTAACTCTGCCTCTCAAATAAATAAAAATAAATCTTTAAAAAATAAAGAGAAAAAGGAAAATAAATGGTTTAGTTTAACCCTATGAGCTCCTGTGGCATTTGTGCCACACCAAGCTTGTGATCTTACCCTGGACTGCAGGTTCCTGAGTGGAAGGAACTCTTAATTGTTGTCTTGGATGCTGCAATGATTTCCTTCCACTTTGAAGGGCTGCCCACTTTTCAAGGTGCACTGGGGGTAACTTGTAAAATAAACTAGACATATGGTAGCATCTGCATTTCTCTAGCAGTACTAGAAACAGTGGCCTGCTGGTGACATGAAGAGAATGTCTGGCTTGGCCCTTGATAAATGGAGCAGTGAGCCCACTACAAGGAGCTCAATGGCCCTGTTCACTTAATTCTGAACTTGGTACTTAGGTGTGTCACTGAATAGATTTCAGGAAGGCTATGATAGGACCTCTACAGCCTTTGCGTGGCCAGCAGACAGGTGATCACCTCTGTATACGAGCTTTGCCTAAGCACCACAAGTATCATTTCTCTGTGTGTGATGACGGCCACGGTCGGGGAGCACTATTCCCTTGCCCGTCTCCTGCCTTCTTTCCTCATGTCCCTCTCTCTTCCTGCATACTGCCAGTACTCATCGCCTCTTTTCTGTTTCCTTGTGGTTTATAGATGGTCATGATGCAGTCCTGAGGTTTAATGGGGCACCCACAGCCAACTACCAACAAGATGTGGGCACAAAAACTACCATTCGCCTGATGAACTCTCAGGTAACGTTTCTTCTGTGCAGAGATGGAGAGAAGGACCACGGGATGTATCTGCCAGGAGCACTTCAGAGACGCAGCCTAAGTGCCCTGCCCTTCCCAAGGCCTAGATTCTACACTGGAGGCCTAGATTCTACACTGGAGAAGGAGAAGACAGTGATCCGTGATCACCAGCCTGCTGATGTGTTCGTTAAAACCCCCTGCCATGTTAGTCTGCACCCAAGAATGTGTCTAGTGCCTAGGGAGGCAGAATTCTGCTGACACAGTAGCTTGGAGCTTATACCTGGACTGTCATAGGAGGAACAGCAGAGCAGGGGGCTCCAGGGGAGAGTAAGGAGTGTTGTGAAAGTCAATGAAACAATGCATGTGAGAGCTATAAAATGTTGCACAAGTAACATTGTCATCATGTGATTAGGTGTAATTCAGCACTAGTATTTGTGTGTGACTTCATGAATTCCCTTAGAAAATTAGCTCTCTGAAGTTTTTTCAGGTAGCCAATTCTGATTTCCCAATACTTATGGAACCTTGAGAAATAGTCTTGCCACCAGGTTCTGTCAATAGGTTTACTTAGCGGGCAAAACTGAATTGCAGATTCCTCACAACTGCATGAGAGGGCTGCAGCTCTATCTGCCTTCAGCACGATGCCTGGCATTTGCCTTGTCCTGAGTCAGCAGAGGAGCCTTGGGTGTCTATGTCCACGCTCACTCTCTGTGCGCTTCCCTGGGTTCTTAGAGTGGAGTGATCCCTGGCCCCTGGCAGAAACTCTTTCAGAGCTGCCCCCTTAAGAATGTTCATTTCTCCCCTGCTCTGGCCGGCCTCCTCTCCTGTTCTCTCTCTACACTTCCTGACTTCCAGGAACTCACCAGCTGGCCAGACTTGCTCCCTGCACAGCCTGCTTTGTATCCGAGGCCTACAGCCGTAAGACTCTATGGTGGGATGGGGCTGGTGGAATTTAACTTCTTTACGAATAGCCACCATCTTGGCTCATGAAAGGGAGAGTTGAGCTCTTCAGGAAAGTCAGGAAGGCTTCTCTGAGGAGGTGGTTCTTAGCTGTGTAGGTGGAGTAGGAGTAAAAGATGAAAAGGGATTTAAGAGCTTTCAAGATGAGTCAATGGAATAGGTAAGATCCTGGGTGGAAAGTGTGTGGCCAGCGTAGGGACTTAGGGAGAGGTGTAGTATGTGGGGCTGTGTAGGGAGAGATGAGACGGAAGGGAAGAAGGGGTCAAACCGTGGTGCTGTGATGTGCAGTTTTCATTTGCATTTTGTAAACATGCCCGGCTTCCATCTGATCAGAGAGACATGGGAAGATCTTGCATTAGTCTGGGCTAGAAATGCTGGTAGCTGGCAACAGAGTAGGAGTGAAAATGAGTGTGAGAACAGGATGGATTTAAGAGCTCTCTGGGACATGCAGTCAGCAGGTTTGTGTTAGATCGGGTATGAGAAGTGAAGGGAGAGGCGCCAAAGCTGCAGCTGTTTCTGGTTTGTGTAACTGACTGGCTAGAATCACTGAGATCACAGAGACTTGAAGGTGTTGTGGGTGATGATGGCTCAAGTCCAGGAGGAGGGTAGAGATACGAGCCATACTTCTCTGATTCTAGGGAGGGCCAGTCTGAGCTACCTTCTCAGTCTCCATGAAGAGCTGACAAGTAGACCTTTGCACCAATGTGGTCAGAGTTTGAAGTCAGGTCTGCCCTGGAGGTGAGAATTTGTGCATTGTCTGTGTCTGGGTGGCAGTGAAACAGTGGGACTGAATGACAGGAAGGGAGAAAGTGTAGAACGAGGAGAGAAGTCCTATCCAGGAGCTTTGGGTACCAAAAGCAAAGAAGCAGTGTGTGGGCATCAGTATCAGATGCTCCTGAAGCCCAATTCAGGGGAAAATTGAACCACATCTGCAAAAGGGAGCCCACTGGTGACCTTAGCAAAAACTGTCTGCCGAGAATGGTGAAGCCAGAAGCCAGACTGGAGTGTGTCACGGAGTGGCTGGGGAGAGGGAAAGGGGAGGGCGAAGGCAGGTTGTTCTTCCAGTAACTCTGGAACTAAATGGAAGGAGAAATGCCTGGTGCAATTGTGGATTCTTCATTTCCGAAACTGGAGAGGACGGAGTATGTGGGTCAGCAGTCAGTGGGTGGGATCCTGGGAAGGTGGCAGAGTGGGAAGCGCTCCATTTTGTTTCCCCACATTGACAACCATTGCACTGGCAGAATCTGTAATGCAGCTGTTTTGGAACTTTGGAGTCTATTGAAGGCTTGAAAATTCAGGGGAGGTTTAGAAGATAACTTATGGTTAATTTCACCTGTTCACAGAAGCAGCTCCCTAGTCCTTCCACTCAACCCCTGGCTGGGCAGTTGTTCATGTGTTCCTGAAACAGCCTGCACATGACTCTGGGACCAGGGCAGGCAGTATGGACGCTGTCCTTTAAGTACTGGGGGGGGGTCTATGCTCTGTGATCATGTGTTGATGCTTCTTATCACAGAGATACAGAGAAGAGATACAAGTGGCCAATAGGCATACGAAAAGGTGCTCAGAAAGGCAAATAGAAATTACCTTACACCCATTAGGGGAGCTTCTATGAGGAGAAATTGCAACACTTCACTATTGGTGGGATTGTAAAATGGCCAATATTGTAAAATGATATGTGAATTTCTCAAAATACATAAAAATAGCATTACCATATGAACCAGCAATCCCACTTCTTAGGATATTCTTCTTCTTCTTCTTTTTTTTTTTTTTTTAAAGGTAGAGTTACAGAGAGAAGCAGAGGGGAGAGAGATCTCCATCTACTGGTTCACCCTCCACCTGTGCCAGATTGATGCCAGGAGCCTCTTCCATGAGTGCAGAGGCCCAGGGACTTGGGCCATCTTCTGCTGCTTTCCCAGGCCCATTTGCAGGGTGCTGGATCAGAAGTAGAGCAGCTGGGACTCAAACCAGTGCCCATATAGAATGTTGGCACTGCAGGCTGTGGCTTAACCCACTGTGCCACAGTATATTCTTTAAAGAATGGAAGGCAGGATGTGGAGAATATTTGTCTACGCATGTTCAGAGCTCTGTTATTCATAATAGCTAACATGTGGTCGAGGCCCCAGTGCCTATCAGTGAATACATGAATGAGCAGAGTGTGGCACACAGTTATAATACATATAATGAAACGTTTCTCAACCTTACAGGGGAAGGAAATCCTGACATGCTACAACATGGATGAATCTTGAGGACATTATGCTCAAAGAAATAAGCCAGCACAAAAAGACAAACATTGTAACATCCCACTTGTATAAAAGTTACTTAGCATAGTCACAATTCTACAGAAAGTAGACTGTTGGTGACTAGGAACTGAGTGGGAGGCAGAGGAGGTGCTGTTTCATGAACACAGTTTCCGTTTTGCAAGATTGCAGAGAATTCTGGAGATGAATAACGGTGATGGTTGCACAACAGTGTGAATGTACTTAATACCACTGAACTAGACTCTTAAACACGGTCAGCTTTAGAAGTACGTTATCAGGGCCGGTGCCGCGGCTCACTAGGCTAATCCTCCGCTTTGCGGCGCCGCCACACCGGGTTCTAGTCCCGGTCGGGGCGCCGGATTCTGTCCTGGTTGCCCCCCTTCCAGGCCAGCTCTCTGCTGTGGCCAGGGAGTGCAGTGGAGGATAGCCCAAGTGCCTGGGCCCTGCACCCACTGGGAGACCAGGAAAAGCACCTAGCTCCTGCCTTCGGATCAGTGCGGTGCGCCGGCTGCGGCAGCCATTGGAGGGTGAACCAACGGCAAAAAGAAAGACCTTTCTCTCTGTCTCTCTCTCTCTCTCTCTCACTGTCCACTCTGCCTGTCAAAAAAATAAATAAATAAATAAATAAATAAATAAAAAGAAAGAAAGAAGTACGTTATCAGAAAAGCAAATTGTAAATAAAAGCCAGTGGAGGAGACGGTCACCAAAAGACAAATACTGCATGATTTATGGGAGGTACCTGGAAACAGAAAGTAGGGGAAAAACAGGTTTGATGGTGGCGGGGGGGTGTGTGTGTGTGTCGATAGGTGCTGTGGTTCAGTTAGGGACAATGGCAAAATTGTAAGCCGGCGCCGCGGCTCACTAGGCTAATCCTCTGCCTTGCGGCGCCGGCACACCGGGTTCTAGTCCCGGTCAGGGCGCCGGGTTCTAGTCCCGGTCAGGGCGCCGGATTCTGTCCCGGTTGCCCCTCTTCCAGGCCAGCTCTCTGCTGTGGCCTAGGAGTGCAGTGGGCCCTGTACTTGGGCCCTGCACCCCATGGGAGACCAGAATAAGTACCTGGCTCCTGCCATCGGATCAGCGCGGTGTGCCTGCTGCAGCGCGGTGGCCATTGGAGGGTGAACCAACAGCAAAGGAAGACCTTTCTCTCTGTCTCTCTCTCTCACTGTCCACTCTGTCTGTCAAAAAGTAAAAAAAAAAAAAATAAAAAAATTTAAAAAAAAAAGGAAAAATTGTAGAGATGGATGGTGGCGATAGCTACACAAGGGGAATGTCCTCAGGGCTGCAGAGTTGTATAATAAAAATGTCTCAAATGGTCAATTGTGTGTTACGTATGTTCTGCTTCAGCAATGCTGGGCCACTCTGAGGTGGGAGAAGATGAGTTTAGAGAAGCTTATCTCTGCTGCATGGACAGTAGGGGCTGCAGGTCAGAAGGCGGCAGCAGACAAGGGAGGGGAGGACCAAGGAGCCCTCAGCAGTCTCTTACCAGCTCCTTGGGCACCTCTTTGTGGTGCCTCAGTCTTAGTGAAGAACTAAACTCTAATCTTCCAAAGAGTCCATACCTTTATACAAAGCCAAGGTAAGTTTGCCTGATGATGAAGAAGACTGGAGGAGGTCAGATTCCACTGGAGGAGGTCAGATTCCTCCTCCAGTGTTTCCCACATGAGTGCCTTGAGCCAGATGCGTTTCCCGTCGGAGCCTCAGTTCCCTTCTTTGTAAAACAGGAATCAGAATGGTTACCATGCAGGGTCCCTGTGGGACCACATGGGACCCTAAGTGTGGAGCATTTCA